TTCCTTCCTTTCCTTTCCTTTCCTTTCCTTTCCTTTCCCTTCCTTCTCTCCCTACCTTTCTTCCTTTTCACCTTCTTCCTTCCTTCCTTCTTTTCTCCTTTCTGCCTTCCCTTTTCTTTTCCTTCCTTCCTTTTCTCTTTTCCCTTCCTTCCCCCCTTTCCTTCCATCCCTCCCTTCTTTTCACCTTCCTTCCTTCCCTTTTCTTTCCCTTCCTTCCTTTTCTCTTTTCCCTTCTCCCTCCCTTCCTTCCTTCCCTCCCTTCCCTCTCTCTCTTTTCACCTTCTTCCTTCCTTCCCCCCTTCTTTTCCCTTTTCTTTCCCTTCCTTCCTTTTCTCTTTTTCCTCCCTCCCTTCCTTTTCACCTTCTTCCTTCCTGCTCCCTTTCTCCTCCTGCTCCTCCTCCTGTGACTTTCGGACAAGCCAAGTCAATGGGAAACCCAAATTCACTTAACAACCGTGTGACTAATTTCACAACCTCAGGGATCCACTTAAGAACCCTGGCAAGAAAAGTTGTACAATGGAGCTCCCTCTGCTTAATGGAAAGGCTGTCCATATTTCTTGGATGGAGCTCTAAGTCTGCTGGAACTACAGCCCCCATCACCCACTCCGGACAGCAGGCCTAGGAGTGATGAGAGACATCCCCTTCTTGGAATAAGAAGAGTCCAACTCCTTTTCTGTAGCTTCTTGGCTTTTGGGATCCTCCTCCTGCAGACCATCTAAAGTCAAGGCCTCGCAACGTGGCACCTTTAAGACTTGTGGACTTCAACTCCCAGAACTCCCCAGCCAGCCATAATAAGGCATTGTTTTTACTTGTGTGAATGAGTAGAGTTCCCGTGGGTTGTCATCATGATACCACCCAAACACGGACCTCGGGAGGAAAGAGAGAAGCCGAAGGAGGAGCGAGAAGCCATCTTAGGCAGGCAACTTTCTAAACAGGCTGAGTTCGCATGACACCTGGAACCGAAACGTGTCTGTGCAAGTGCTGAAACACTGGGAAAGATGACCTGTCTTTAGCAACACTCATCAAACCTGTCGGGATGCTTAAAGTACATTTTGTCATCTGGTTTCTCCTCATTAAGTCGAGGTCTGACTTCCCGCAACCAGAATTTCTTTCCTCGGAAAATCATGTGGGTGGTGAGATCCTGTTCCTCCTTCTCTCCTCCTTTTCTCCTTTTCTTTCTCCTTCTCCTCTCCCCTTCTTTTCCTTTTCTCTTTTCTTCTCCTTCCTTCTTTTTCTCTTTTCTTTTCTCTTCCTGTCTTCCTTCTTTTCTTTTCCTTCCTTTTCTCTTTTCCCTCTCTTCCCCCTCCCTCCCTTCCTTCTTTTCCTTTTCTCTTTTCTTTTCCTTCCTTCCTTCTTTTTCTCTTTTCTTTTCTCTTCCTTCCTTCTTCTTTTCTTTTCCTTCCTTCATTTTCTCTTTTGCCTCCCTTCCCCCTTCTTTCCTTTCTTTGTTTCATTTTCTTATCTTTTCCTTCCTTCCTTCCTTCTTTTTCTCTTTTCCCTTCCATCCTTCCTTTCCTTTTCCTTCCTTTTTTTCTCTTTTCCCTCCCTTCCCGCTCCCTCCCTCCCTTCTTACCTTCCTTTCCTTTCCTCTTTTCTTTTCCTTCCTTCCTTTTCTCTTCTTTTCTCCTCCTTCCTTCCTTCCTTCTTCTTTTCTTTTCCTCCCTTCTTTTTCTCTTTTCCTTTCCTTCCCCTTCCTTCCTTCTTTCCCTCCTTCCTTTCCTTTTCTCTTTTCTTTTCCTTCCTTCCTTCCTTCCTTCCTTCCTTCCTTCCTTCCTTCCTTC